CTCACGAATTTCAACTATGGAGTAGTTCTGATACCATTTGATAGAAAATACAGAAAATGATTATCGATCAATACATTAATCGAATCCTTTATCTCATAAAATAAACCCTAGATTCATCCAAATGTTGAAATTCGAGAAAAATAACTAAACATAAAACATACATATATCCATAGTAATCTGATTCTTTGCCTTGATGGGTTAGGATCTTCCAATTGATTGGTGATCTTCACTTCAATTTTGCTCTCTATTGATGGGGAAGTAGAGAAATTCAATAATACCAACAAATGAGAACTATAACCATATAAAATAATAATAGTAATTCAATAGTCACTATCTTTCAGTTGTTTCAAATAGGTCTCTCATCAATTTAAAACAATACTCCGGTCTCTACACTATATTTCCNAATGGGGACCATAACCATATAAAATAATAGTAGTAACTCAATAGTTACTATCTTTTAGTTACTTCAAATTGGCCCCTCATCAATTTAAAACAACACTCCGGTGTCCACACTATATTTCCATGAAACCTAATACCCATTAATCATAATACATCTTTAATGGATCACTTTAATTGATTAATATCATTTAAATAATAGCACCACACATTTTAATATACAACGTGTGGCCCAATATATGTTGAAAATATCCAACACATCATTGTCTTTTTCTTTTTCTTGTATCAAATATTGTTGATATTGCTCTTCAAGATCTTCAAGCAAGCCTATAATTGATACTAGACTTGCTCTCCACCTAAAGTGTGGATTAGAACACATATGCAGAATAGAAATACGATGGTTGAGAAAAATACATTAAAAAGAGATTCATTGCCGTCAATCTTCATTCGTTCTCCATTACCAAATAAAACTATGTCTCCCAGTCCATAGGAATTATTTACTAATGTATCACTTAGCAAACTCAGTAACTTTGTAGCAACTCCTATGACAGCTACATTGGTTGGTGCACAAGTTAATGCCATGCATTTCGTCCTCAATAGGGCAAACAATAACGATAAAATCGTTTTTGTTTTTCCAGTTCCTGGTGGACCCCATATGAGCTTCACATCATTTCGATAATGACAATCTTTCGTAACTATACAATTTAAAATAGCAGCTTCTTGTGAATCATTCATGCCAAAAGTGCCAATCGGTTCCCTTAACATAGATTCATGAGTACTCCTCGATTCCTCAACGGAACAAATAGTACAATTTTCTTCTACCTATATGCAATAGATAAGTGCAATCAGAATTTTAGGAGTGGATAAATGAGATTCAAGTTAGAGAATATGTCCACTAGAACTCACAGATGGATTGACTCTCAGCACTGAATTAATGATCTTCATGTTTTCTCCTATCAGATTTGGATGCAATGCTTGCCATATTTGGATATTTGTCGTCAAGTTTGTAAGATAAAAAGCAAAAAGTTTGTCCATGTCCGGCATATCAAACATGATAGGCTTCGAAGAAATGACTGAAATTCTAGTGGAATCGTCATCATCCTTGATGCCGTAAAGTACGGCTATACTGTAAGGCCTTTTACTCGTGTTCAAATCTTCAATATATTCTGGTCTTACATCTGTCAAGGCAATTAAATCTCCAACCACTGGTTCATATACTCTTTTATCTTCCTCACTTCCACTCAATCTTTTCATTGTCATGGTATAGAACAAATATTTGGGAGGTCTGAAATCTTTGTTAGGGTTGACATCAAATATTTCACGTGCACGTGGATGACTCTTAGGAGTAAAACTTGACCGCAGACTAGCATGTGTTTCTTCTAGAAGAGGGGAGTTGAATGACCGGAGATAGTGTTTTGCTGAATAGAATGTCTCCGGAATTGGCTCGACCTGTCAAGATAAAATGTTTGAAGCCATTTAAGTGTTGGGTCATTGGCAACCATATAACAGGTTATGCAATAATAAATAAAATAAAATTATGTCCAACCAACGTAGTGTTGGAAATTGGT